ATCTCCTTCCTAGCATTCTAGACTTGAAATCATATCAAACATACAGTAAGCATTTTAACTAAAAAATTCTGTTGTTTAAATTCATGGATCAGTTATTTATTGCAAACAAATGTCTGTATAACTTAAATTACTATGTTATGATTGTAGTTTGGATGTAAGTGATAACCCAGAAGAATTTGGTTTTCATGTCATGCAACTACATGTTTTTTTCTTGCACATGACTACTGCTAATTACATTAAATAGTGAATGAATAAATTATAAATTGTAATGGCAAGCTGGTGTTTCTTTCACATTTCTATTTTTCACAAATCCCCCCAAAATTGGAAGCATTTCGTTATCTTGTTTATCTCTGAGGGCGGAATGTGAAAACTATAATGCATATTTGATCAAGTGCATTTTGTTGTTATCAACAAAGATTACTATCTTTGCAAAAAATTCTGCTGGATGTATATCAATGTTAGCAAAACAGCGATGTAAATTGAAACATTGCCTAGCAGTTTATTCTCGTGATGACAGTGAGCGGATACATCTCAGAACAACCTGTGAAATCTGAGCACATTTTTTATCTAAAGATGATGAATTACAGATAAATGTATTTTGCTTTTCTACAGGTCTTGTAATTTGTTCAGCACACTTACTGTACTATGCTTTGACTACAATGAGTAAGTATTATGGGATGGAAATAATCTTTGACATCTGAATACCATATTTGTTTTATTAGTAACACACACACTCACATAAATGACAGGTGTGTCTGTGTGATCTAAATATTTATGATGCTGATTCCATTTTGACCATTTTTCTCACCTGAAACCTGAAATAGAGAGTTAATTTTAGTTTATCTTTTTATTTGTAATTTAACACTTAGCAAGTACTACCTAAGTATCATCAAAAGATGTTAATGCACAGCTCAGAGAATATAATTTCATAATAACAATATGTTATTATTTTCTACACTTCTGACTAATTAGCATAAAATGCACTATTTCTTTTTCCCGCACTTACATTGTATCTATCGATGTCTTTGTGGTTTGGACGAATTTTCATAACAGACCTGCTGTGAAATTGTAAATTGAGAAATTGGAAGCAAATTTCCCCTTTTCGGGTTGAAAACTCAATAGATCATAATTCACCGTCATTAGAATTTTATTTTCAGTCACTTCTTATAGGTATTAAGTCTATTGTTGTGATAGAAAAAACAGTGGCCACCAGATGCACCGCAAGGGGCATTAATTTCAAAAGTGTAACATTTGTTTTGTTGTAATAAATGAAACAGCAAAATATTGGTGTTTTAGAAAACCTGTGCACCATTTTCAACATTTGGAATTTGACACTTTGCCCTAATCTCAAGTTCAATAATGCATTATACAATAGAATAAACGAATGGCCACCATATACCATGGAGTCTCCCCCAAAGGACATCTTTGGGAACAATTAAAAAACTGTTTTCCTGCTTATGTTTGACCATTCATATCAAAAAATCTTTGTGTGGGTTATAATTAATAATCTTAATCAATCATTTGTTTACTTTTATTAAGGTTTGGAGATGAAGGTGTTTATGGCATTGCTAAAGGACTTAAAAATAACAGAACACTGTTAAGTTTGAGTCTTTGTTATTGTGACTTGGGCATCACCAGTGGTAAACTACTGGGAGATACTGTGGCGACAACTGCACTCAGGTAATTCAACTTCATCAAATATGCAATAACTAAATGTATGTATGTATAAAATACTTTGCAACACATTATCATGGAAATCGTTTTGGCAGCTAGCTTGTTGGATGTAGTAATGAATGAAATGAATGCAGAACATTGTCAGCAACGCATATTTAGGTGCTGCTGGAACCAGTTTCTTCTTGCAGTGTTACATCATGACTTACAATAACCATGAGAGCAGATACATTGTAGCATCATACACATACACACATCGATCGTCTGCCTTATTGTATCTCAATTGTTGGTTTTTCTTCACAGGGAGCTTTACTTGAATGGTAATAATTTAGAATCAGAAGGTGCTGTTGAATTAATAAAACTAGTGACTGATAATGCGAAAGTGGAACACTACGAACGTGAAGAAGCGGCAAGACTGAAGTCAGAGGAGGCAGCCCAGGTTGCATTAGATGGTGAGAATAAAAAACATCATAAAATTTCAGTTAATGAAAGTATTCTTCATTTAACCAAATAAATCTATTTTTACAGATTGTTTCTACACTTGTGTTTAATCAGGTTTAGACATTATAGATAAACAGTGATTGATTGTATAAATCAGTTAAATCTCAAAATTAGCTTAGGACATTTTGTAAAAAATACCAACTAGTGTCATGTGACAATTCTAATTATTTGTCATATTTTGAGTGTAAACAGTAAATTTAACAGAAAACTACCTCGGTAATACCCTTTGTCTCAAATTGATGATGTCTGATGTGATTTTGAATCACTGTATAATATTGTGTACTGGTTATATAAAAAGTCAGAATGTTTGAAAAGATTGTATGTAAATTACCCAGCATTTTAAAAGTTTAATCTTATTGTAAATAATTTTGAGAAGATTGTATTCAATTTCATTTTAAGTAAAGTGTGGATAATGTCATGGACCAGTAATTTTATTTCACGATTTTGAAAAAATCATACTTAAATCTCAAATAAAATAATTTGTAGATAATATTAGATATGTACTGTAATTTAACAAGTTCATAACGTTTATTGGTAATTTAAACTAAATAATTTTATAGTATGTGTGTATGCCTAATCTGATTTTGTTCAAATATACAATGAAAATATTTATATAATTATAAATTGATAAACATTATTTTCTCTTGCAGAGAAAGCCAAATTAATGACGTTGGTGAATTCTGGTTCTGATAAAATAAGTGAAAGTGGTGGTGAAAAAGAAGACGAGACCAAAAGTGAAAAATCGGGCTCAGCAAAAAGTCGCAAGGGAGGCCTGACTGGCAAGAAAAAAAAGAAGAAAGGTACAAAAATCAATTTTAGAATTTAGAATATTTCCCTTTTTCTATCTATATTCTTCACATTATTATTTTCTTAATGATGATAATAATTTTGTTCATATGCATAATCTATAACTGTATAACTCGCAAATGCTGAAACTTTCAGATCTCATTATTAATTTGTAAGTTACTCAAAATTGCAAGGGCTTTCATTAAAGTTTATCCAGCAATACATCTTTCAGATGTTATGAATACAGAAGCAACAAGAAACACAACAAAGAGTAATGTATTAACAATTTTACTACGTACCTCATGTGCGAGAATTTAACCAGTTTAAGTTTACACAATTTGTCTAAAACATGGATAATTCAAACTGATGGATTATATGCATATATAGATAGAGACAAGATTGCACACTGGTCTTACACATATAATGACCTCAATAAAGTTGGTATCAATACAATAAAAGAAAGAAAGAGAGAGAACATTTAATATTTGTCACATTCGTGTAAAATATCATGGAAATAAACTGGCCAGAAATGTAATTTTTATGAATTAACAAGCTTGGTGTAATAACAAAAAGCCCGAAACTAACTATTGTGAGTTTACAAATGTCCGTCTGGTACCTGAATCTTTTGACAAATGTCACATTGTGGCGAGTAGGTAGTAGAAACATTACAGCAACCTGTAGTGTTTGACACCCATGAATGGAATGTGAATGGAACACAAATGGTGTTCTTAACTGTATCACATAGTTTCTTTCTCAGTTGGACTTCAGTCTTTGATGTTAATGATCAAGTTCAGGTATATAGATACGCTCACCAACCAGTCAAAGTGTTGGGAACCTTGAGAAAACACATGGTAAACCTAAAGTATCAGTGATCATATCACACAGTTAATTATCTCAACTGTTTGCTTACAACACATTCATCTTTTACTTTCAGGACTTTGTATGTGTAACCCTAACTTTGGGCTACAAATCCTACCTCTCAATTTATACTGTTATAATAAATACATAAATAAATCTCTTGTGACAGACACATAATTTGTTTATTATTGTTTTAATCCAGACACTTAGTAACAATCTGTATATCACTCACACACTATGAGAGTATATCGACTGAGAGCAAAAATGGAAATCTCATTTGCAGGATTAAAGTTCAGAAAATTGTTTGTCAGTGACTAAAGTAGAGTTAGATGTCAGTGTTATTTGTGTATATACATGTATCCAGCTATTTGTTTGAGTTGCAGGTAAAAAGAAGAAAAAGAAAAAGGAACCCCCTCCTCCACCTGCAGTCGGTCCTTGGCTTCATAAGCTGCACTTAGCAGACAATGGCATTGATGCCTATAGTAAAGGCAGTACCTTTGCACCTGTTATATGTATGAATTTATTTAAAGAGTAAGTTGTATTTTACACACTGTTGTAACACTTGTAATACAATTTTATCACTATGTGACTTACTGTTGTAACACTATGCAGTTTTACCACTGTTACACACTGTTGTAACACTTGTAATACAGATTTACTACTATGTGACTTATTGTTGTTACACTATGCAGTTTTACCACTGTTGTAACACTTGTAATGTAGTTTTACCACTATGTGACTTACTGTTGTAACAGTTGTAATGTAGTTTTACCACTATGTGACTTACTGTTGTTACACTATGCAGTTTTACCACTGTTACACACTGTTGTTACACTTGTAATGTAGTTTTACCACTATGTGACTTACTGTTGTTACACTATGCAGTTTTACCACTGTTACACACTGTTGTAACACTTGTAATACAGATTTACCACTATGTGACTTACTGTTGTTACACTATGCAGTTTTACCACTGTTACACACAGTTGTAACACTTGTAATACAGTTTTACTACTATGTGACTTACTGTTGTTACACTATGCAGTTTTACCACTGTTACACACTGTTGTAATACTTGTAATGCAGTTTTATCACTATGTGACTTACTATTGTTACACTATGCAGTTTTACCACTGTTACACACTGTTGTAACACTTGTAATACTGTTTTACCACTATGTACATTACTGTTGTTACACTATGCAGTTTTACCACTGTTATGTACTTTTGTTACACTATGCAGTTTTACCACTGTGTGACTTACTATTGTTACACTATGCAGTTGTACCACTGTTACACACTGTTGTAACACTTGTAATACAGATTTACTACTATGTGACTTACTGTTGTTACACTATGCAGTTTTACCACTGTTGTAACACTTGTAATGTATTTTACCACTATGTGACTTACTGTTGTTACACTTGTAATGTAGTTTTACCACTATGTGACTTACTGTTGTTACACTATGCAGTTTTACCACTGTTACACACTGTTGTAACACTTGTAATACTGTTTTACCACTGTTACACACTGTTGTAACACTTGTAATACAGTTTTACCACTATGTACTTTACTGTTGTTACACTATGCAGTTTTACCACTGTTACACACTGTTGTAACACTTGTAATACTGTTTTACCACTATGTGTCTTACTGTTGTTACACTATGCAGTTTTACCACTGTTACACTGTTGTAACACTTGTAATACTGTTTTACCACTGTTGTAACACTTGTAATACAGTTTTACCACTATGTACATTACTGTTGTTACACTATGCAGTTTTACCACTGTTACACACTGTTGTAACACTTGTAATACAGTTTTACCACTATGTGACTTATTGTTGTTACACTATGCAGTTTTACCACTGTTACACACTGTTGTAACACTTGTAATACTGTTTTACCACTGTTACACACTGTTGTAACACTTGTAATACAGTTTTACCACTATGTGTCTTACTGTTGTTACACTATGCAGTTTTACCACTGTTACACTGTTGTAACACTTGTAATGTAGTTTTACCACTGTTACACACTGTTGTAACACTTGTAATACAGTTTTACCACTATGTACATTACTGTTGTTACACTATGCAGTTTTACCACTGTTACACACTGTTGTAACACTTGTAATACAGTTTTACCACTATGTGACTTATTGTTGTTACACTATGCAGTTTTACCACTGTTACACACTGTTGTAACACTTGTAATACTGTTTTACCACTGTTACACACTGTTGTAACACTTGTAATACAGTTTTACCACTATGTACATTACTGTTGTTACACTATGCAGTTTTACCACTGTTACACACTGTTGTAACACTTGTAATACAGTTCTACTACTATGTACATTACTGTTGTTACACTATGCAGTTTTACCACTGTTATACACTGTTGTAACACTTGTAATACTGTTTTACCACTATGTACATTACTGTTGTTACACTATGCAGTTTTACCACTGTTACACACTGTTGTAATACTTGTAATACTGTTTTACCACTATGTGACTTACTATTGATACACTATGCAGTTTTACCACTGTTACACACTGTTGTAACAGTTGTAATGCAGTTTTACTACTATGTGACTTACTGTTGTTACACTATGCAGTTTTACCACTGTTACGGTACACACTGTTGTAACACTTGTAATACTGTTTTACCACTATGTGACTTACTATTGATACACTATGCAGTTATACCACTGTTACACACTGTTGTAACACTTGTAATGCAGTTTTAATACTATGTGACTTACAGTTGTTACACTATGCAGTTTTACCACTGTTACACACTGTTGTAACACTTGTAATACTGTTTTACCACTATGTACATTACTGTTGTTACACTATGCAGTTTTACCACTGTTACACACTGTTGTAATACTTGTAATACTGTTTTACCACTATGTGACTTACTATTGATACACTATGCAGTTTTACCACTGTTACACACTGTTGTAACAGTTGTAATGCAGTTTTACTACTATGTGACTTACTGTTGTTACACTATGCAGTTTTACCACTGTTACGGTACACACTGTTGTAACACTTGTAATACAGTTCTACCACTATGTGACTTACTGTTGTTACACTATGCAGTTTTACCACTGTTACACACTGTTGTAACACTTGTAATACAGTTTTACCACTGTTATGTACATTACTGTTGTTACACTATGCAGTTTTACCACTGTTACACACTGTTGTAACACTTGTAATACAGTTCTACCACTATGTGACTTACTGTTGTTACACTATGCAGTTTTACCACTGTTACACACTGTTGTAACACTTGTAATACAGTTTTACCACTGTTATGTACTGTTGGAATGCAGCTTTTTTACATTTTGACTGTTACTATCATTGCAGCTTACACCATGTTTATGATTGCTTTGATATTCTCTATCCCACCTAGGTTAATAATGCACTCAGACTGTCTGAAAGAACTTGATCTTGATGATAATTTAATTGGTGATTTGGGTGGGAAAGAGATTCTGGAAGGTCTGCAACAACGGAAAGAATTCGGCTTGAATTCCATGAAGGTTAGCGTAACCCACAGAATGATGCTGCCTGACACATTCAGCTCAATTATTAAGCTTGGTGCTGGCCTCAAAAAGAAGAAGAAAAAGAAAGGAAAAGGAAAAAAGAAGGTTAGGAAATATTAAGATTACATAGATATGTATTGATTATAATAATGATAACAGTCTTAATTATGTGATATCACTAAGAGAATCTGGTTCTGTTTTGTCAAAATGCTATGATTGGTAGCATTTTTGTTTTATTAGTGGTGGCATTTATAGATCAGTATGAGTTTATGTATCTCCCTTATGCCTACTCAGTAAGGTCTAGATATGATCCTGAAATAAAAATAGTTATTATCAGTTAATAATTTTTCAAATATTGATTTTTATCTTGCAGAAAAAATGAAGAATGTTTGACAACATGACAAAATGAAGTACCCTGGTAGTTTGTAATCGTAAAATTCTGCCAACCATTAGACCTGAAAAAGACCTGATTGTATAATTGTATTATCAGTTTAATTCCTGCTTAAACTTAAAACATTGTATTTTCAAAGTACAAAAGTTTGAAAACAGGGACTTACAATCTCACCTCCATGTGCCCATTTGTCCACCGATCAGTCCACACATGTATCTTAGACAGGCCTGGGTGATTTCATTCAAACTCCAAACACACACACACATTACACATCATATCATACATATGCACATGCATTCATGTTTCCATGATGCAATTCAAGATGGCAAAATGGCGTCCATTTTAGTGCTAAAAATTCATCAAAATTCAAGCATTTCTGCCATTCCGGAACCGGATCTCAATCATACATCTTTCATCATTTACACCTTACACCATGTGCATTTAGATTAAAAATGGCCAACTTGCAGCCATTTTGTTTTAACAAATGCATTTCCAGATCATATCTCTGACATTGAAGTTTTGAAAAATCACATTCAATCTTCACACACACATTCAAAATGGCCAAATGGTGGCCATTTTAGTGCTGAAAAAATCAAGCATTTCTGGATCTTAGTCATGTTATGGACATATTCCAGTCAAACTTGGTATGTCCATAAAACATAATTGAGGGTCCTTGATACACATCATTTTTTTCCAAGATTAACTGACTGACATTTTGTTTTTAACGAATACTGTTTTTGAAGCCATATTGCTATTGCAACACATTTACACAAGCATGTTTCAGATTCTGATTCAAGATGGCTGATCATCATTTTTGTGCTATGCATTTGTGCAATGCATTATGTCATGGGCAGAATAAATGGCAGAATTTCACAATTAAACTAGCTCCACTTTGTATCATATCTTTCACATGAATGTAAATAATTATTTGGCACTAATAATGACACTAAAAACTGGACAGGGACTTGTCATTGACAATGACTTGTTGTACATTAAATTTTTTTTCCCAACAAAATTAATTATAATTATGTAGCCAGGGGCTTATTCAGAGTTTTTGTTCTCTAGTATTAAATCTTTTCTAAGTGTTGAATATTTATAGAGCAAAGAAAAAAACTTTTTCTCATTTACATTATTGAGCTAACTTAAAACAAACAAAATATTATTAATGAACAATGTCAAAAATTAATATGCAAACTAATCATACAAACAAAATAATTGTACAAATTGTAATAAAATCTGAAATATTTTACATATATTACATAGTTTTGTATCTTTTTCTACCTTATGATCATGCCTAAACCAACGATAAAAGGAAAGGTGAGGGGAAAATGTCTGTCTTCAAATTTTGTAGGTAGAGGCTCCAAATTTTTTTTTCAAAATTTCTATAGTTTTTGATTGTTAATGTTGTTTATTTATATTTATTTTTTTGATTTTTTTAATACCATATCTTATTCACCAAAAAAAAAGGTTATAAACAAACAAAAAATTGGAGCCTATACCGTACATTTAAATGAACTGTCAAAACTAGGCTAAGTCAAAGAAGCAATAGACAGAGAATAAGGTTGGGCAGTCAGGGACTGCTGACGATAATTTATTTCATAAACCGGCGCTTAATCTGATTGTGATCTTAGCCAAGCTCAGTTTTGGCATGTGTTGTATGTATATTTTTCAAGATATTGGTGAAAATTGTCTATTTTTTGTTGTTTCAATAACGCCAAATTTTATCATTCACTATAAAATGTCAAAAAATGTTGATATAACTACTTTTTAAGATATGTGTTAAAATTTGGCTAAAATAAAACAGTTACAAAAACTGCTCTAGCTAGTTCAATTGGTTATAGGTCTCTGCCAATACATTGGATAATAGATTTTATTTAATCTAGACAAATATTGATATAATCACTATAATTCTAGCCCTCATTGGAAATTTGTTAATGTTAATGGACATCATGCAAAGCACAACAAGCAATTTCAATTTGCTTCTTTCTATGCTGGACCAACAATAGTGAAATTGTGCCTGGAGAGGTGGATGGGTAGTGTAAATACCACTATCTTAAAAAGTAGTTTTACCAAATCTGTATAACTATGTTTTATTTTTATCATGTCATGTGTAAATCACAGTTCTATTGAAAATACATGTTTACAGGAATCTATCTTTTGACCACTATCCAATTTCAAGTAATTATTAGTATGCATTTTCTTTCGTATATGCTTCGATATCAATCACAGTTCTAAAGTTATTGTATTTTTATGTGTATCTGTTCCACTGATATCTCAAGAACCATATGTTGGTTTTTGATGAAACTTGATGCATAGATGCTCCAGGCTAAAGCGCAGATTTGATTAGGTTTTAGTTGAACTTGATGCATATTAGTTACCTAATTTGCATGACAATTAGGTAATTTTGGGCTGTTCTATTGATATCTAAAGAACCACTCATTGGATTTTGATGTGACTTGGTACATAGATGCTCTGGAACAATATGCATACAAGTTTTGGGTAAAAATCCATGCATAATAATTATCTAATTTGCATAATGATTAGTAAATTTTTTACTTTTCCCACTGATTTCTCAAGTCATCACATTAGAATGAAACTTGGTACATATTAATGCTCTAGGACTATGCGCAGGCCTGATTAGTTTTGAATGAAAATCTGTGCATATTAATCACCAATTTGCATAATAACCAGTAAATTTTTGGCTTTTCCACTGATATCTCGGGTACTAATCATCTCATT